ACACGTGACTAATACGAATTAGTCGTTTAGGCCTCAGCCCTTAGGTTGGTGAAAAAAACTCTTTAAAGTCAATCTGTATGTAATCTAATAGATCTGTCGATCGCGATCAAAAGTTTTTGAAGACCGCGTTTAATATATAGATTTTTTCTTCCATTTTGCCCGTGAGCAGAGAAGCTTCAGCTGTGACTTTGGACAATCACCGTCGCCCTACTTATCACTGCGCACCTCTGATGTCTTACCCGGAAGCGGACAATAATCAAGAATTTTGATAACAAGACGTATTAACGTTTTTAGTTAGAAATTACTGTTTCTTGATAAGAGAGAATAAATAATATAAGCCCAGTAAATCAATCCTCAGGCAATTTCAAGTTTTTTTTTGCTTTATCACTAGAAATAGGCCTACGGAAATATCACGAGAAACGCTCAGCAAAATAGTCGTGGCTGTATTGTGTCGCGGTAGGGAGGAAGAAGGTATTTAAAGTAGCGTACTTTTATTCACTTTGCAAGTGCAATTGAGATGCACATTTCACATGTAGATTCCTCATATTTTGTCGATTTCACAGCGTGGTAGCCCTATTTTTACCGTCTCCATCTAATTGCCTACTGTTTTCTGTATCTACAACTATATGCAAATCACAACACGAATTTTCATTATTAAGTCGCATATCCACCCAATCTCAAACTTATCTTACCTTCTACTAGCGAGGTAAAAAGAGTAACAGTGGCCGTCTTTCGGCGTCCTGCGGGCAAACTAAGTCCAATTTTCTCTAACTTTTCTCGTAGAAGTCTCCCACCATTCTTCGATTTGGCTCTGTAATAAACAGGAATCGAAAATATATATTAAAATAATCAAAAAACAACAATAATAATATCAGGGTGGTAGTAATTTTAATAACTGGTGAAAATTATTAAATATTATTTTTTTGTTTAATTACCGGTATTGACGTGAATTGAACTATTGGGCCCAAATAACAACTGTTGTAGCTGCAACATACGCGGATTAATTCCATACTGTCGTGCCACAGTTTAGTGGGCACGTGATCTGGTTGTATCGAAAATGACAAACGACACACGCCTGGATTGCCGCCCGCCATTATGTGGGCGAGAAAGCTCCCAAACCAGTTGAGTGCTGACACGACGAGACCAGTGGAACAGTTTCGTATTGTTTAGCACTACGAAGTGTCAGGTTGCGTTAACATCTGCCGCGCTGCCCACGATTATATATATATATATATATATAGATACAATGTAGATAGATATATTTTATATGTAACATTTTCAAGTAGGATAATTGTCGAACTCCTATTCGTCGGGTCAAAGGTCGTGATACCTGTTGCTAATACTAGGCAAAAAAAAAAATAGACTTCTAAGGCAACCCAACTCATCCATGTGAACTGATTGCATAAAGTCCTATTCTTTTTTTCACTTGATACATTCACGAACAAAAACAGTCACGAGACAATTACCCACGCCGCGCCGCCGTTACCCTGGTGACTCTAGCGAGGCATGACGGGAAAGGGAGGACAATTATGCCACCACATTTAGAGGATGGACGATTTCACCAGAACAAGGTAGCACGTCTATGAATGTATTACCGCGAATAATGAACGAGTAGTGACTTAGAGACCACCATACTTGGTTAGTAACCCCCCAATTACACACCGAGTAACGTACGGAGTAGCATTACGACCCCACAACGCGACGGAACATCGCGCATTCTCGGGACGGCTCACAATTCACAGTTTTGTTCGCCTCCCAGATGCTTGTTTTTAATTGGTGCTCAGTTGTGTTTCGCAAATCACCAATTTAAATGCGACTTTCGGTGAAAACATCAAATATTTGCCAGTTAAGCGAGGATAGTACCTAATATCCGTGACACAGAATTGCTGGTAAATGGAGCGAGAAAATGACGCTGGATCTGTGAGAGACACCGCAAAGGAAGACTACCCCGATTGCAAATAATTGGATTTCCAAAATAAATACAAAAAAAAAAAGAATAAAATAAAAAACAACACTCTTATAAACCAATATCATGATTAAACATTACAACAGAAGTTGTCCGTGACGTCACCATTTTATATAAATTGTCATTTTACTCATAGGTCGAGGTTGTGACGTCAGCACGTTGTCTATTTCAGAAAGTAAGATCAAGACAAATAAGAAACAATATTAGAATACGAGTGTTGAATCTTTAAAATGCTGATGCTGTCTATAGTGTGCAACGTTGTATCCCCCCAATCTGTGACGTTAAACAACAGGTTTTCTAACATCTTCTAAATCATACATAGTATCTCTTACGCTAGGTTAACTTCGGCATTTCTGTTCGGCCTCCCAGGCCGATAGAGGTCAGGCCCCTTGTAGTAGACTCCTTTGTGATGAGTATTTTGCCGCTACGGACGACCGCTTAGTAGGTTTAATACGGTGGAAAGTCGGGTCTATCAGCCAGTAATTAAAATATGTTTAAGACAGAGCGGCACGGCCAATCTTGCCTGATCAGATGACACGGGAAGCGGAGCACTGCTTGATCATGAGTGAACGATATCTGAATCATTTTAATACCCCTTTTAGTGAAACCGACACGAACAATGTGAAATTACCTCTTCCAGTTTCCCGCCCAAATTTAGTCCAGCGGCAGGCTTTGACGCTTATTTTTTTAACACAGATTTTCTTGCAAATCATTTCACACTCTACAAAAATGTGTGTTTTTATTCATAAAATTGATTATATATTCGTGTATAACTCACAAACACCAATGTCCTCGCTGTAAATAGCTGTGTTGTTTTATTTTTACCGAAAATTACACCATTGCATGTTATATGACAAATCTAATCCCATGCTTTGGCGCGATTATCGTTGACATCAGCAATCAAACGCCCAGGTTTCAATTTTAATCCGAAATGCTTGAGTTGTTGCAATTTAGACAAAAGGCTCGTAAGACACCAACACGCGCCGGGCGCTAATGAACATTTGAAGGGCCCCTGTTGTTTGATCTTTGCTATACGACCGCCAAGGTGTGAGTGAGCTCTTGGTCGGCGCGTTCTATTGTATCTCCGTAAAATCGGTGTCCGTGAGAAACGATGGTGTATCGTCTGTTGATAATTACTGCTAGGATTGCTTGATTACATCCATGATTGCCATTGATGCGTACGTATACACACATACATAGCATTGCCCATTACTTAATGAGCCCTCTTTTCTCTTTGATCGTTCCTCACGTCTACTTTCAATTAGCAGCAATCGAATAAAGTCACGTGTGGGGGCCTTTACTGGTGGCTTCTCTGTTTTCAGTCCAAAGCGATGGTGGTCAAACCGGCGCACTTCTTCAATGGAGTTGGCTGCAATATTCCCCGACTTTAATTGGTTTTACTGGCGTGATAAATTAGATGTTTACCCGTACCGGCGGTACGATCACTCACATGTAGCGCATGCGCAAGTTTGCCCCAGTGAATTTCCCAACACTCACACTGTTCCATGACTAACCTGCGCGGAGCAAATCACGACGTTTCACGCAGAGACATTCCGTGAATGAAGACAATGCCTGTCAAGTTTACCCGAGTAGCGACCGCTGCAGTCGAACTATAGAACTAAGGCACGACGGAAACGTGTCACCGAATATCGTATCCCTGGCGTATTTGTAAGGGAAGTCGGCTTAAATAAATAGTGTGTTATTGCAGACGTAAAAACAATGTTTCACTTGTTTCCTTGTTTATATATTTTATCAATTCGACACCGGCTTTAGCGGATAATGTTATACATTAACGGCGTTTCGTTTACTTGCTCGGGTAACAATCCATTACCCTGTGAAGTGTCGTCTTTGTATATTTCACCGTGACTAGTCGACATCTTTCTCAGAAAATGTAAGTAATAATGCGACATTGATGGAAAAACAGTAAAGGGTGTTAAATGAGAAGTGATATTATTATATTCCTAGTTATAAAGGCAGACGATCGTAGACAGGAACGAATTGCGTCTGGAAATATTATTTGGCCTCTAGAAATGAAACCATTAAATTCGAGACGTTACTCTCCTTTGCACCTAGTTAACGCAACATCAAGGCTAAAAACAATCGTAAAATTTCCGTTCCATTTAACATAGAACAAAATACCCCAGTTATTGAAAGTAAAGAGGTAGTAAAAGCGAATGCCTTGTTGGCTCGGTGTAACGCGGTTTTTACACGGCTTCTCACGTCTTGCGCTGGTATTTACACTGCAATTGAAGGGACTGTCTGTCACCCCATGAATCTTAAGAGCCCCGCGGAGATGTAAACATTTATCCACCTCCTCGATACCGTTTCTAAAACCCGATTTGCACGGAAGACGATTTTATTTTGCAGGACGGAAGCGATCTGAGTTGCTGGCACTGGCAGATGTACCATAAACATATGGCATTGTGTACGCCACTTGTGCATTATAGCTACAAGGTCAGTTGGGACACGTATCAGGTGATATAAACTAGAAGGTGGGCAACCATCGTGATGAAAACTAGCTGTTCACTTGATATAAACTAGAGGTGGGCAACCATCGTGATGAAAACTAGCTGTTCACTTGATATAAACTAGAGTTGGGCAACCATCGTGATGAAAACTAGCTGTTCACTTGATATAAACTAGACGTGGGCAACCATCGTGATGAAAACTAGCTGTTTACTTGATATAAACTAGAGGTGGGCAACCATCGTGATGAAAACTAGCTGTTCACTTGATATAAACTAGAGATGGGCAACCATCGTAATGAAAACTAGCTGTTCACTTGTCATTTCTTAAAAACTTGATAGGAAGAACATGTGTTAGAGTGTTTGAGTCCGAAAAAAACGAAGCGAGAAGGTACAATTGATAATGTCATCTAAGAAGATGATCATTTTCTTGGCATTTGCTTTAACAGTGTGTCGTGATTTACCTTGGGTATAAATAGTAAACTGGATTATCACGTGGTTCTCAGCCTGACCCTCCTTTTCCAGTGATTCATTTTTTTTTATTACACCATTATTTTATAGAGTCCATAACTCTGGAATATCAGTTTACTTTGTTACAGCACCTCTTTTCCTGCTATCAATGCCGCTTCCACTTACGATGTCATACAGGTGGACAGTAAATATTTACGAGTTAGTATTTGGTGGACGTTTTAACGATACAGACCACATTTACACAGCTACAATGACCATCGTTTTTAAGCCCTTTGTCGTAGCTACCCAAGTTTGCAGAAACAATACAAACAACAGGAAAGTGCGATACGATGAACAATTCTCGAATCACGCACTCCATATATCTATCGCTCCACGTGTTTCAACTTATATCGGCACAGTCGTCACTCCACGTCGCTTTTGACATGGGTCTCGTGTGACATATAGCTCGCGTGTAAAAACATGTTTGCACGAAATTCAAATACTTTTAATCACAGCGGAAGAGACAGGAATTCGGTTAAACTTCGTTAATCCGGACATGTGGTCGTATTTTTTTTCTTCTGATTATTTAGCCAGAGATACACTAGAGTGACGACAATTAATTATCGTTTTCCTTGCTATATGGGATAGTTGTTAGCTACTTCTTATACTAATCCCTGTGGATCGCCCCATCTACTGTTGCATCACCCCACTATAGGCAAATGCACCGCCCAAGGCAAAGAAATGCAATAATGCAAAATGGATCATTTTATCCCCTTCCCAAAATTGCAACAAAAAGTAATCTTGTTGAATTTGACACGGTTTTGGTCCATAGCACACGTTTGTGTTAATATTCGTGATTATTTTCAACTTCAACAAGACAAAGGAAGTTCATAGTACGAGTCAACTACAACAGTCGCGTACAAGTATATT